GTGTTGGTCCAGAGGCAGCATTGGTGTCACTGAGTAGCACTTTTTTACTATATAGGAATATTGTCAATAACATATAATTTACAAGAGTTGCTGAATTTCAAATATGTGAATACACCAATAGGACTCTAATGTGGTGACTTTACCCGAGAAGCAATTTTTTTCCTGATTCTAATAGCTATTTCACAGATTTATTATATGATCGATGTGCCTGTTACGTCAATATGTAGTTCCAGTTGGTACAGACTGTACAAAATTATAATTTCATTGAATCAGCTGACTTCTTTATGGTCTAAAAAAAGCTTATTGACTAACTACAGAGAATTTTAATGTAGGATATGTGTTTGTCTTGTGGTTTGCAAAGCACTGTGTTTGAATTCATTGATGAAATACCATAAATTGGACAGTAATTATTCTTGCAGCAACTGTTATATATCATATGTAAATACAACTATATATTCTGACAGAGCAATTTGTGGAGAGGTAATTTAGAGTTTGACTTTATTAATTATATATCATATAATCCTAATAACAAGACCTAATTTATTTATACAAATGTAATGTTCCTCATTATAAAGGAGTGCTCATCTTCGCTTCGGTTCACAACTGTTAGATGTTTAGGAGGTTGTTAGTATTCATGAGTTACCTCACTGCAAAAGGGTGCCATAGAGGCTACGAATTAGTACGTGATTTTGCATTCAGCAGAAAGGAAAGGAAGCTTACTAGCTCGTGCTGGTCAAGGCTGGGCAATCTGTTGAAGGATTCAAGTTACTGCAACTGTGTGGAAAGAACTTATATTAAAATTGCATCTATATGGCAAAGGATACAGGGGATTGTTTATTTAGTCATGGCTTGCATTATTGGAAAAATGGATGGAATGAAAAGGAGTGATGATGAAAATAACCGGCTAAAGTATTTTTTTGTAAATCATCAGTAAATGTAAGAGAATCTAAGAGATGCTGTACTTTTAGCAGTGGCTAATCACTTAATATTTTTTCCCTAAAAGGATAAACTTCCAGGTATTATATAGGTGAGTTTATGGGCAAAGTTTCTTCTAGCTTCCCGTGTCTTACTATCTTTCTTTTTCAGGTGATATTTACTGTTGGCAGGTATTTTATAAATTACTGAGAAATAATGAGTATATATCTATATGCTAATTTTCTCATTAGAAATACTTTTTCCAATATAATTCTATGCATCTTGGACATATATATTGTATGTCTGTATGTAGAAAGATACATAATGATTTAATACGTGTAATTTGCTTTACTTCCGTTCGATGCAGTTTTGTATGCTATAGTTTAATATAAGCAAGTATAATCCACAATGTCCTTGTAGTGTGTTCATAGTACAGAATTCACCTCAGGGTTAATTCTTCTGGCAGCTTGTAACTCAAACTACTCTTTGAATATTTCTTTTCTCTGAATAGTTCATCCTTCGTTCCAACAGTTAGAACATTCAGGTAGTGGCAGCTTGCAAGACTGACAGTGCTGCTTTCTTTCACAGCTCTGATGGCTGACATGAAATACAGTCTTGATTTTGGCTTGTGTTGTACAGGTACCACTTCAGAGAGGATCCATCTCAACTGCATAAGTTTTGGCAGGAAAATTCAAATGTTTTTCCCTTGGGAAAGGGAGCAGTGCCTTCCCGTCTGATGCGGGAGTCCAAAGGAACTGAAAGACTGGTGGGAGGTGGCTCTGCTCTTGCTGGGGTCAGAGGGATTATTGCTCTACTGGTTTAGTTCAACTGAAAAAAAAAAAAATCCAGTGACTCTTTCTCTGTGATGAATAATTGTGAAGTAAAACAGAGGAACAGACAGATTGTAACTATTCTTAGTATACACTGATGATGCTGTTATGCCAACAATTAGAAATAGCATAAGATTTTTGCTGAACTAGTCATTGAAAGAATTATTGAAGGTAGGAGTGTAATTTTAAATAAAAATGTATTTAATTTAGAAATACCAATAAATATGTTACTCCTAGTTATTCTACTATTGAAAACGGCATTCTTTTATGATAACTAGGTTTGAATCCACAATATAATGTAATAATTTACCAATTTTAGCCATGGGACTGGGAAAGCTTTTGTCTGCATTTAAATGAATGTGTCAATAGTCCCAGCAAGTCCAGGAAAAGAAAATAAAATTTAGGTATGTTGTTATCAGAAGGCTTAAAATGCAAAAGGATATAGGTAAATTCATGCAAGTCTTTTGCTTCTTTGTACTTCATGACTTAAACTCTACCTGTACTGAAGAAATTAACAGTGTGAGTAGGAGCTATTTCTCCAAGTGATAACCAGTAATGAAATGGAAAGATACTGTGTTCTAAGGATACTCAATTAGATGGTACAAGAACAGTAAATTTTAAATGCTTGTTCTTTTTCTTTTTCTGTTTCTAGCAAACTAATAGCTATTTTGTACTAGAAGTACACTAGAACATGTAACTTAGGAAAGTAGGACTTGATATTTGCAAGGTAAAAACAAGTATAAGATTAATTTGAATTCCAAATATCTAGTTTTTTTTTATTAAGGTGAATCTTATAGCTGCCTCTGCCTTTCACAAAGAATAAAAAGTATTCATAATCCTTGAATTAGGAATTAATGCATAAAAATGGGATTTTCCTAAGGTTAAAATATCATTAATTCTTATTTCTCAGTTGATGGACATCATTTTTTCATAAGCATGACCTGTTGGTCACTGTTTTCTAAATTTATTTTCTATTTGAAGAATAATGTCTCATATGTGACAATCTCAATTCATATTCTTTTCATTTGACAATGTTTATGGAGAGGTAAAGAAAGAAATCTGTGTCACATGGAACAAAAGTAGCTGCCAAGTTAGGTAGATAATCTCTAAATTGGAGGTTATTGCATTCTGTGAACAACAATAAAAATATGGTTATTTAGTGATCATTGCCTTTTAAAAAGCAGCAGTATATGTAGCATATGAAGTAAACGCCCATACTATGTGATTTATATTAAAGCCAAGAAATTAATCTCCCTCAAGAATATTAGTGTCTATTTTGAAAATGGGAAATATCTTATGGCATTTCTTCTCAACTGATGCTATTTTTAAGTGTCCAGAACTAGTTTGCCTTACATAAAACCTCTTTCTTCATACTTGCATTTTTATGGAAGATGGTGTTTTCTGAGTTTTTTGGTTTGCTTAGTTTTTCTTTTGAATGACCACAGAGTGCCGTTAAAATTCTTCCTAGAATGACTGAATATATGTGTGTATATGTGCACGCTCACATAGATCTGAGGAAGTGTGTACTGCAGGAGATCTACAATAAAGTACAAAGGTTTTTTACAGAGCAGTTTTAAAATATGTATGTCCTTCTATTTTTGCCATGCAAACCTAAAAGCCAGTCGCTAAAGTCACACTGGGATAGGATGGAACAAGAGAGAATCTATTTTAAGCTCAGTGTGCCTCAGGTGGTCCATTAAAACGTCTTCCTGAGTACTTCAGTGCATCACAGCACCTTGTTCTGTGTGAAGACAGTAGCTTGGTTTTTATCTGAAAGTAAGAGGAGCAGACCCTAAGAGCTCACTATAGTGAAATGCCTATGCATTGACTGATGACCTTTCTATTAAGTGTTGTCTATTCAAGGACTTTGCTTTCACAGCCTCTTCTTCAGAAAATATTATCCTTTTTTATCTGTTCTTATCTGTGGTCACATCAGTAAATCTTGGTAGCTTTCAGTAAAACATAATTTAAGTATATATTATTTTATTCTTTCCTGTATTTGTCTTTGGATAGGACTGATCTAAGCTCTAGCAGGGCCCAGATCTGCAGAAGTCACAGGATGTCAGTTCTTCTCCCATAGTCTTCTTCATCTCTACCTGGCAATATTTCTTATCTGCCCGAAATTTGCCACGACATAAAGAAGCCTGCACTCTGCCCTCTCTCTTTCTTATTTTGGTGGGCAGGCAGGAACAGGCCATCACATCGGCTGGGAGAGACAGCAGGAGTGTCACTTAACAAATAATTCAAAATTTTACTTCAAAACACAGAATTACTGGGAAAAAAAAATCCCCCAAATTAGTATGTTGCCAGTATGTGTACTAATCAGGAAGATGAGATCATGGAATTTACAATGGAGTAGGCTGATTTCGCAACTACATCTGAAGTCAGTCAGACTGCAGCTTAAATTTCTGGGTCTCTGCAGAGTGATCGGTAACTTCTTACTGCCATTAGAGCTAGGGCATTGCTTGGGCCTAGGATTACACATACTAACATACAGTTAGGACTGTGTATTAATATGTCCTGTGTGTATCTGAGATTGTTTTCTAGATCGTGTTTCTGAATACTTTATCTAGCCCCTATGTGTAGGAGCAAAAAAAGGATTTGTGTAGAAACATTCAAATGGAATGCAATAGGTGAAGAAAAGCAGAACTGGCAAGGCAATTCATCTTTCTGTCAGTCAGTGAAAGTTCTAGTGGGTTATTATTTTTGCCAGAAAATTACTTTGCCTTTATATTGTGATTATTGCATTTTCCTTTAAAGAAATGAGAGAGCAAAGACCGAAAAAACACTACATATTACATTATCTCTTTCTGTGAAGCATGTAAATATAGAAGATGATATCTTCATATCTATTAGGTCTTAAGGCTTTGGTGAACAGTGCTGATATTTGTATTAATCTGCATATATTCCCTTCATTTCATTTTCATCTTCATCTTCATTTTCTTTTGTTGTAGAATTGCTGGTTTAGTGCTTTTAGGGATACAGGCAGGAAGGTTCCACATGACTAAAATGTTACATGTCTCTCTGTCACTCTGAAAAACATGGGAAAGTGTTCATTTTATTATCTCCCTCAAAGAAGTGAAGAACAAGTTATAACACTGAAAATAGATAACCTTTGATTTGTGAACCAAATAAATGAAAACATATCAAGACTTAAAATTAATTTGCTAATTAGGAAAAAAAAAGAAAAAGAGGCTTTTGGAAATGCTGTTACACAGACAAATTAACGTGTTTGTTTTTACTTTGTAACTGTAGTACATTTACTCCTAAAATGCAAGGCAGACGGATGGGGACTTCAGGGAGAATCACTAAGAGCACAAGTGTGAGCGGAGAGATGTATAAGCTGGAGCACAATGACGGGAGTCAGTCGGACACGGCTGTCGGCATGGTTGGAACAGGTGGGAAGAAAAGGCGTTCCAGCCTTAGTGCCAAAGTGGTTGCCATAGTGTCTCGAAGGAGCAGAAGCACATCTCAACTTAGCCAAACAGGTGAGTGAGACACACGCTCTCTGGAAACAGGACTCTCACCCAAACGTGGTTTATCATTACTTCGTCCGTGGCATCTGTGTTACATGCATATGGATAGAGGCCACTCAGGAGAGAAGATTTCCCAGCTGTGAATAAATCTCTGTGATACTAATTTTCTTTGATCGTTAGGCATCTGTCAAAAACAGTACACAAATGCTTTTTAGAATATGCACCATAACAATTTTCTGTCCTGATCAATAGAAAATGTTTTTATCTCTTAGGAACCTTGTTTACAGGTAGACAAGGAAATGCAAAGAAGCATATGTGAGTATCAGCCGTGGATAATGGTTTGGCTAAGTGCAGCCTGTTTTTTGGGTTTTTTTGCTAGCAGAAGAGTTGAGTATGAATGGGGGAATTGAAATCTGGGCAACTGAATGACAGTTATGTAACTTGCATAAAAGGGTTTACCTGTAGTGAAAAATACGGTTTTAAAAACTACCTTTGATTTCGTAGTCAAGACTAAATCCAGTATTGTTTTTTTTTAGCAACACTGGCAAATGGGGGTCAGTGAGTTCAGGTACATTAGATGAAAGTGCGATGCTTCATTAGGAACGTAAGACTTCCAACTCTTTATTGAGACTTTATAAATCTTAAAAGCTTCCTATCTGCTTAGCCTGAAGGAATAAAAACTCATACAGAGAGATACAAAAGAAAAAAAAATTAAGTCCTTGTCCTGCTCCTATTAAACTCCAGTGAAGACTTCTGCTCTTGTCTTCAGTGGGAGCATGACCTGACCCTAAGGGTTCTTTCGTACTAAGAGAAGGAAAAGAAAGAGGAAAAGCTTCAGCCTAGCGTAGAATGCACAAATATTGCAGCATTCCTCCAACATAGTCAGGGTAATCTAAACTAAGGTAAGTAACAATATTGTTTATTTATATCATCAAATATCTCACCCTTTTCCCTTGGTTTTCTTTTATTGCCAGATGAGTGGCAGAAATGATTCTTTCAAAATATAAAGTTTGGTCAGCTTTAACAAAAGGATTGGAATACTTTTCTACATGACTCATTTATGAATTTTAAGCCAGAGCATATAATCATGCAGTTGGACCAAATGATAGATGTAGTAAGTGTATTTGAAGGCCAGAATTGTAATTAATACAGTGTTGCTCAAAATACACTCTGCCTGAATATTAGACTAGAATATAAGTATTTGTGTACATTAAGATGTTAATTTAGATACATCAGAATCAATGACATGCTCTTAAAGTAATAAACAGTGGTACTGTATTATAGAAAGAATTTTAGGTTGATGTTTCACTCCACTTACTATAAAGAAAAAAAATTTTTAAGTGTTTTCCAGAATGTTTTTGTGGTTTGATCTGACATTCCGTTATAGATCCTAAATCTCAATGAAATAGGAATTGTTGTGACAGAGCAAAATATTTGTTCCATCTTACTCTGTAGTCCAGCTCTGACCACAACCCAGGGCTACATGCCTAAAAGGATGGCACAGGGGCTACCAAACATGAGATGATTTGCTTTGGGTGAGCCCTAACAACACGCTTATCAGTGAAATTAGTAAATAGCTTAAAATCTAAACTGTGACTTCCAAACATTTCTCAGCATTATCTATTTAAAGCTCAGGTGTTCCCATTCTTCATAAAAAGATACTATAGCTCTCCAAATTTTGTTTAGTGTAAATTTCAAAACAATAGGAATTGAGCACCTAAATTTATAATGAAACTCAAACAGCAAATCAAAGATGAAAAGCATGATTATGCATTATTCATGATTGTAAAAGAGTTGAGAATGATATTTACCTTGCTGTGGCTCAGGCAAACACTGCTATCTGTGGTATAAGGAGAGCAGTGACTTGTTTCATCAGTCACTATTTTTTTAGTTAAATTATATGAGAAATCAGTAAGTTAATGCATTTTTTTAGAACAATATACAAGTGAGATAGGTTTTCCAAAGAAAATTCATTGTTGGAGACTAAATACTCGTGCCCCAAATCAGGGACCACTTTCCTCCTTTCTTGTAGTGTACAAGAGGAGAGAAGAAATCTAAAAAGGTCTTATTCATTTTAATGTGTTGTGCCTAAGTAATTTAATAATGTGTCCACTACTGAGAGAAAAAAAAAAAGTTTTGAAAATATAAAATAAGCTCTTTAAAATAGATTATGTGAGAATTGGTTCTAATAGTCAAATTCTGAAGTTTCTGAGATGTATGGTCCTCCAAAAAGTTGTGCCAGGTATGAACTTCTGCTACTGATCTTCAGTAACTTTAGGAGGACTGTTGACAAAAAGCATTTATTTTAAAGGAAGTATAAAAAAATACAGAAATGTATGTGTAACCTCTGTAGTTTTTCCTGAATAGACCAGTTTAAATTTTATTTCTTTTCCCATGACTTGCATGACTGTAAGTCAGGTACACATTATATATAGAGTTATTGTTTCCAAAAACTCAAAACAGGAGATCAGAAATAAAGCAAAATATCAGATATTTCTTGAAAATCAGAGTTTCCATATTTTCATGGAATATATAGATCTGAAATTGTAGTTTACTATTTAAAAAAACCAAACAATAGTAGTAAAATGACCTTCTATCTTACTTTTTCTCTTTTGAAGAAATGGTCAACAAGGGCTGAATTCTACTTTTTGTACATAATTTTTACTTTTAGCATACTGTCACAAATAACTGCGCCACCACATATACTGCACATATTTAATCATATAGAAATAGAAATTCTGTGTATGAAACTGCTACTAGGTAACTATTATTTCTAGAAGTTGGTTTTCTTTTCAGTTGAAAAAGGAGCATTTGTGTGTTTGTGTAAGAATGTGCATGCATGTATGCGTGTGTATATATATACGCATGTGGACCTCTGCATATATGGGACAGATCCACTTTCATGTTAGATTTTGAAGGACCAGTAATCACATTATGTTGTATGCCATTGTTCAGTGCTATTGGGAAATACTTATTCTGAATTTGTGCCTTATCAGATTGTCAGTGAAAAAGTCATTTTTTATTTTTATATAAATCTGGAAAGAAAAGTGTATGTTTCTGCTGCACCTTCCTTTTGATTATGTTTAAGGTTTTGTAACACTTTTGGCAGATGTTCATTGAAATAACTAAATCCTTACTGTGATTCATTCTTTGCGCCCACAAATTGGATAGATTTTGCTGTTCATCAAAAAAAAAAGCTTGTAATCGTCTACCAGTATTCCTAATGAAAATCCAGCTCTGGTTATGCTATCGCAGTTAGAAGGAAGAAAGGAAAAAGAAAAAAAAAAAAAAAAGAAGCAAAACTCCCAGAAAGAACCACCAAAAAAAAAAAGAAAATATCTCCAGGCATATTCTGTGCAATGTTAGTTATAATCTGAATTTTTTAGTTCTCTTTGCCAGCCTGATTTCTCTAAATAAATATATGCATATATACAAACCAAATATATAACTGTAGATTTTCTAAATAATTATAACAACTCAACTTTAAATCATAGGAATAGGAAAATAGAAATAGGAAAATAGGAATAGGAAAATAGATTATGATAGAAAATCACCATCTTTTGTCTTGATTTTGTGATATAACACTCTATTTCCCTGGGTGACTGAGTGCCATAATAATCAAACTGCATTTTGATTTGGGGTTCTGGGTTTGTTTTGGAAGAGACATAAGCTGCTGCTGTAGGAGGAAGGAGTTGTATTACAGAATTTATACCATAAATGCAGACATAATAATGTATCTCAAAGTAGATGGAGGTAATGATAGGAGTATCACTAGTGACATGAGTTCTGGAGAAAAGGAGAAGCTCAATCTCAGATAAACAGAAGTATTCCCAAGAGAGGTGGTGGAAGCCCCATCCCTGGAAGTTTTCAAGGCCAGGCTGGATGGGGCTCTGGGCCACCTGATCTAGTGGGGGATGTCCCTGCCCATGGCAGGGGGATTGGAACTAGATGATCTTTGAGGTCCCTTCCAACCATGACAGTTCTATGATTCTATGATTCCCTCTCCTGGAATCCCTCTCAGTTCTGCTGGTGCACTCAGAGGCATGTCTTACGAAGGCAAAAAGATTCCTCCGTTTTACTTTCTAGCCCCTGATCAGCAGATGGGAGTTTCAGAAAGGTCATCTGCTAGCAGGAGCACGCTTTTCTTGTTCTTTTGAAATGTTAACGGTGCTTTGCAACCATTGTACCATTCTATCTTCCCCATCTTGCTATCAGAGATTTTGTAGTGTCACATCTCTATGACGTTTTCAGCTTGATGCAATTGCCTGCTGGGCAAGCAAGACACATTTTTCTCTTCTAAGGCCAATGGACAGGATGGCTGGCTGTGGTTTTGTTTGTTTTGTTGAGGATTTTCATTCTTTAGCCACTTCTAATGAGGCCAACTTTTCTGTCAAAAGCATTGAAAGGAATTACAAAAGAATTTGGGAGTGTTTACTTGATTAATAAGCGTGAAAACCAGTGCAGACAGAAAGACCGAAAATACCAGCTTTGAGATAAAAATGAGAAAAACTACCAGAGATGCCACTGATGAGCCTCTTGGGACTCTATTTTTTCTGAATATGAGTTCTTTGAGACTACTTTTGTTTTCCAAGGTGTTCAACACCATTAACATCAGACTAGATTTCTCTTGACACTCTTTGAGGAAAATTAGTGAACTCCTGTAAGATAAAGGTGAAACATTGCCTGGGATATTATATATTATTCCTATTACTGGCTGAAAACAGATGAGAGTGGAAGAGATGCAGAGCAGGAGAGCTAAAGAGCTAGGAAGAGTGGGGAGCTTGTCTAGTCTCGTGTTACACTGATACTGGGTCATTTTTCTAAATGGAAATGCCTTGCCATTTTTATGGTGTGAACCATAACATGATATTTTTACATAAGAATTAAAGTTACTTGCTGTCCGTCTCATGTTTTGTGAAGTTTCATGTCATGAAATGAAATGAAGCCATAGGCATTCACGCGGGAAGTAACTGGCAACGTGAGAAAGACCATGTGAGAATCTTATAATGTAT